GAATTTTTGATTTATTTGTAACGGATATTTCTCGTAATAAAAGAATAATTACATTAAATGTTCATCTATTTGTAACGATACTTGTTATGGTATAAATTTCCTTACAATAGCTAATTGTCAGAAAACTATTTTAAAAGATATTGATATTTTTTGTACCGGTATTTGTAACGGCCACAATTTTATAACAAAAAAAATATTATTATCTTTTCAATAATAACCTGTACGATGCGAGAAAATATTCTCAAATGACATTACAAAATATAAGGATATTATATAAAATATCAGTTGCATCAAGTACCCACTGTCTAGGAAGATAATTATTTTGCAATTTGGCCTAACATATACGACAAAGCATAACAATAAACACACAAAAGAAAGTAGAAAATGCAAGTTCAATCGACGGAAAAGACTTAGTCCGCATCAATCTACAAATAAAAATTAATTATCATAGAATTACGTACCACGTTTCCACGCCCTATGCAGCGTCAAATTGAACATACAAGGCAGTTACGGGCGACGAACGAGCTATCAACATAGTGCAAAAGTATATAATAATTTACTTGTGGGATGGTTATATTATAATCTAATAGAAATTCTTATAAATATGGTTACGTACATCCTTGAATGTCCAGTCAATTGGCTCGACATGGAACAACCTCACCGAGTGTTTGTGCTCCAAATATCGTTTGTAGAATGAGCGCGGCCTCTAAAACGGAAGCAGTCGTGACAAAAACCCTCACTATGCCAATGGTATAACCTACGACATATAAAGAAAAGATGTGCATATCATTGGAAACAAAATGCAACTCACAAAATATTTAATCGCTATAAAATATTAAAGAAATTAACTCAAACATTTCATCATATGTAAAAACAACAAAATATAGAACATAAATATAATTATAGCATGGACCCTATCTTGATGACACCGGCATCAACATCCGTACAACATTACAATTATAAAACAACTAACATCATAATCAATTTATTTGATATATGTGAAAGTTGCTTGTTTAAACAACCAACTTAGATATGTATCGATTTAACAACAACAATTAATTGAGTGTAAATGTATCCACATACCAAACACTTTGAATTAGAAAAAAAAAAAAAAAAAAACAAAGTGGTTTGGGGATAAAATCAGTTCATCCATCAGCCTTTACAATAATCTTTAATTATAAATGTATATGCTCCCCAACAAGGCCATACGGAACAAACAGTCACCCAATTACAGTTCCACGCAAATAGCATTGTCACCACACCATGTGTAACTATTTTGACTCACATATAGAATATAACCAAGTTAACCACAGACTTGGGGTAGGGTTGGACAGCAACACCCCCTCACTAACAACGTATTTTTCCAATTCACGAGTGATCAGAAAGACATGAGACCTGATCTAAATGAAAAATGTTATCAAATGTTAATAATGGTCTCGAAGGTGATGGTGATGTATTAGTAGTGGATGTTTTTATGTAAAGGGTGATTCAGTTAATAAATACAAATAAAATTAGCAACGAATAATGCAGAATCGTCAATGGGTTGTGGACATCAGTCCCTGGCGTTTCTGACCGTCCATCGGTGCGGATAGATCCCTGCAAGATAGAAGAGTATGAAGTGACATGACTTGCCCCGAAAGGTACAATACAAAACTAATTAAGACGCGAGATATGTATTTTTACAGGGCCTGGTATCGAGGCACACGGACAAAGCAGACATCTCAACGCAGATGATTCTAATTTCATACATCTTATCGCGGGCAATTCTAAATTCATACTTGAATTCCTAATCTCAACAAGGTCATTCTGATAGTCAAGCTGTCGTAGTTTAGGACCATCGGAGCTTCCAGTCAAATGACTTCGGGGGTGGGCAGAGCTGACAGCACTATCAACAACCATATTTTTGTTCCTTTTCCCCCTGAGTACACGGTGGTACAAAGCTTCGCGTGCCACCGGGGTGGTTTATTTCTCATAGGTAAAGGTCAAACCATCTGTATTGAAAAAATTGGGGAATGCCAAAAAGCCGTATAGTGCATGAGCAGCAGGATTCGAACCTACGTAGAAAAACTTCAACAGATTTACAGTCTGTCGCTTTTGACCACTCGGTCACTCTCAGCCGACAAGGAATTCCATTAATAACTGGACATGTTGAAATTCACGAGTGTTTTTGGATGAGATAAGACTTTTATTAGCGTGAATTTTGTTAAGTTATCATTCAAATAAGCTTGTACAATTTCAAATAAAATAAAAACTATAATGGTTGGGAAGTACTACAATTTCATTCAACAAAAGGTGTGATAGATTTTCTTACCAAAATGTCATTAGACATCTCATTATCACCACCACATCCTTTCGTGCGAGACAACATCCAAATTTTCAAATTTTCAGGGCCTTTCTCTGTTGTCTTTATCTAAAAGTTAGCCAAGTAAGAAACTGGTAGTCAAGTTCGCTTAGACAAAAGGAATGTGAATCATAGCTAAGAATGATATATTCAAATATCGAGTGGAAAGACACAAAAAAGAGAATGAATGACCTCTTCAGCGAAGCTTGTGAATGGTTCCCGGCCTGTCCTGTGTGGAAACTTTCTTTTGATGACATTAGTGGTATTTCTCCTTGCAACATCTTGTGAACACCGACTAAGATGAATTGGATAGGTAGTATGGCAAGAGCAAAAATGATGAAAGAAGGAATATAACTTGCCTTAACCTTCTTGTCCTTCCAAAACTGGACAAGCAACGGCCATTCTTCAGCGACAATCTGATCAGTAGGGACTTCTTTTAGTGTTTTGCTGTCGTTGTTGTATGGTGTGAAGTGTGTAGACTTTATGATGTAATAAATGAAAGCCTGCTTATCTTGTTACACCCAGGGATCAGATCATCTTGCATGTCTTCAAGTATTTTGCCTCCACCCACTATTGTTATCATCTCTATGGTCGTCACCTACATCGGTTAAGTGTTGTCTTCATTGGCCATTTCACCCATGTTGTTAGGCATAGCATAATCGCGCATTAGCATATCTAGATCATCTTCCCACAGTGATGACCTAGGCCTGGCCTCTGTGGTAGTTGATGTTTCACCTCTAACTTCACCATGGCTAGTCCATACCCTATAAGACAGGTCAAACCCGTACCTGATGCAATGAAGAAATATCTCCCTACGAGTATTAGTGACACGATTTAAACAAGTTGTACATGGGCAATATACAACTGAGTCTATGTCTCTCCCACGAAAAGCATAGTTTAAGAATTGGATCACGCCATCCGAATAAATAGACAAAATATGTTCGATTCGTCAATCCAACTATTGTCCATCTAAGAAAGAAAGTTTGAAGAATTTTGATCATCCCATTAACATAAATCCTATGTACTTAAGTAAACACAACATACCTTGTAACAAAGTAAAGAAAATAAATAAATAAATAAGACTCTAATAAATTTAACAATATGAACAATATTTGTATAAGGAAAACTAAAAAATAAACTAAATCGAGCCTTAGAAATGAATAATATTTAATTATCACTCTAATAACATGAAAAATATTTTTATAAATCTAACAATATGAACAAGGCCTAAATCAAAATACACATGCCTTGGAAATATGAAGTAATGCCAAAATAAAAAATAGCATACCTTGTGAATCTAGTCAATATTTCTCTAATATGAACAATATTTTGTATAAATCTAGCAATACAAACAATATTTAATTATCACTCTTGCCTCCATCTTCAATTTGTTGGAACATATGAGGAATTATATTATAAGGAATTATACCCTAAGTCCAGGATCTGTCATGTTAAAAAGTTGAAATAATAAAATAAAGTTAATTAAATCTAACCTTATTCTTCAGCATAGTCGGATAGTTAGATTCAAATATGAAAATAATAGAGAGTTTTGTGTTCTTCAAATCTATGCCAAAACCCCTCTTCAGAATACGGCTAAAGTTCTTTACTCTCACGATGAGATATGAAAAGTAATGGAGGTTGCATTTAGACCTGTGATCACAACCCTAATTTATATCCTTTATTATTAATTGGCCGCATCATTCAATTAATAAGTAACCGGATTTCTGCACATGGGAGATCCGCACTTACTAAATACATTTAAGCCTAATAAATTAATAGATCACTTAATATAGACTTAATCTAACCGATAGCCCAAATAGTTACATTTAACCCTGTGTAATTAAAATTGATAATTTGTGTTGTGTATCTTTTAAATTGGATTAAAAATATTACAGATTTGCTCCCATCTTCAACTTTCATGGTTTAATCAAAAATTAATTAAATAGATTGAGATTAATCAGTACCGTGCTAATCCACATGGCAAGCATTTTACAGTGACATATTAGAGTGAACCTCAAAAGAGTGATTTGTATCATTCATTCAACTACTTTTGTAGGATTTATTTGAAATAATTAATTTAAAATATATTTTAAAAAGCATTAAAGTGAAATAAGAATATATTTCATATATATAAATAGTAAATATAATTTTGTTAATAAATAATTATTTAATTTAATATTGTAAGTTAGAAAATAATTTAATGAATTAGATGAATTCAGATCTAGTATGTCCGCGATTTTAAATTTTGAATTTAAATATAATAAAAAAATTGATATAAATAACATTTAATATAGTATACATAAAAAAAATACTACATATTTATAAATTAAAGATAATAATAATAATAATAATAATAAAGAAAAGTACTGGACCAAATTGACTTTAAATAGATAATGTCCAAATGCCCAATATACACCTGCCAAAGAAAGAAAAAATAGTAGCTAGTGTGACTTGCCAGTAAATTTGTACGGTGTTAGGTTTGATCGAAATTTACGAACATTTTTAAATAATGGTTTCGAATTTCCACCTTATTAAAAATAATAATAATAATAATAATAATAATGATAAATCTTTCAGTCAACAAAAATACATACGTACAATTTGACACATACCACTGTGGACCAAACCTCAGCTTCCGTGGCTGTCCATAAATCCCATATTTATAATAAAGCATAAAAAGCCAATAAAAATCATATATTGAAGTCTATCCATATTGTAACACATCATGTTATGTTGTCTAGAAGTGGGCCCTCCACAGATTGCACCATTTCTGTTTCTCAATCATGTTAACTTATTACAGTAAATTTCTAAACTACATGTAACAGTAAAACTTTCAAAAAATAAAAATAAAAAATAAAATCCACCTCATAATAATGGTACAACAATTGTTAGTACCAAAGTGTGACATCTGGTCTCGGCAAATTTCCGTCCCTCCCCGTCGCCGGAAATGCATCGGAGTAACCGCCGCCGGCAGTGGCGGAGGATACGGCGAACAGCGGTTGGAAGCTTCCGGAGGTGGCTGGCGGTTTGTAGTGATCAAAAGCGTCGAATATACGAGCGTCGTAGCCCACCGGAGATTGATTGCCGATGACAAACCCGTCGTGAGGCCGAGGGTCGTTAACGTTGTTTGCCGGGTTCTTGTTCCGTTCGTCGTATGAGGCCATTAGGTCGTTGATCATCCGTTGCCCATCTTCGGGGACTCCAACGTCGAACGAACGTTGGGACAGAGTCGCGTGGATCAACGATTGGGGGAAGATAATCGGCGACGGCTTGATGTCGTTTAGGCTGTACGTCGTTTGCCCGAAGATCGAGTCGAGATCGAGATCGTTGCCGGGTTTCCGTTTCCGGGAGAATTCGAGCCCGACTTTGAAGTCGACGTCGTACTCGTCGTTGATCCCGAAGGTTGCGGTGGTGGTAGACGAGGGCAAAGCCGGGCAGCGGTCGGGGCAGAGGTCCCGAGCCAGGGCTTCCTCGTGGTTTATGATTGCGAGCCACGTTGCGCTCTCCTTTGCCGTCATCTTGTCCTGAAGGCACTTCGACTGCCGGACTAGCTTGCGGATCTTGGCAATGTCCGGCGAGATGTGTTTGATCACAGCCGTTAAAACGCCGACTTTCCATGCCTTCTTGAGGTCATGAGGCTTCTTGTACGGCGGCGGTAAAGGCAAGCCAAGGTCGCGCCACCACTCCTCTTTTCCCGTCGGCCACCACGGCGGCGGCACGCCTTTTTCCAGCGGGAACCGACGCTGCGGCGGATCACAGTGCTGCATCAGCGCCGAAAGGAGGGATCCGAGCGTCGTGTCCTGAAGCTCCTGGAGAGTGTGCGGGGTGGCGGCGGCGGCGCCGCCACCGCCGCCGCCGCCGCCGCCGGCGTCAGTGACGCCGGCGGCGAGAGCGTTGTCAGACTGATATTTGGCGATGGCGGCAGGGCCGTTGCGATCGAATCGGACTTTATCCTTCCACCACTCGCGGAGGTTGTCGGAGGCGCCGCCGACGGGCTTCCCTTTCTCCGGGATGATGCCGTAGACGAAGCCTTGAGCTTTGCAGACCTCCATCATCTTTAGCATGTACTTGAGGATTCCGTCCTGCGCCCGCGACATCTTTTTCCGGCGGGCCTGCTCCTGCGACTGCCGCAGCTTCGCTGCGCCGGCGCCGGAATCTTTGGCCTTGTTCATCTCCTTGAGGCGCTTGAGACGTATTTTGTCGCGCCACATCCGGCGCTCGAGCTCATCGACGTCGATCTCTTCCTCGTCGGTGTAGTCATCGTCGCCGGCGCCGGCGGAGATGTCGGATTCCTTGATCGCGGCGGCGGAGGAGGAGGAGGAGAAAAAGTCGAGGTCGCCGCAGAATGACATGTCCTCGAACATCATCATCCTTCCGGAATCAAACAACGAATCCGATAGCCAAATCTCTCTCTATGTTTTTTCCTCTGATTAATCTGAATTCCACAAAGCTCTCACCTGAAACGCAGACGAAAACTGCAATTGATGATATCTTTTTGATGGACAAAATTCGAACATGGGATTGGGAAAACAAAAACTTGCTAATCAATCTTAAGCGAAAACCTCGAATTCAAATCATGAGAACCCTTTAACAGCAATCCAAGATTCAATCTTGGGAACTGAAATCAACGCAGCTCTGGGGAAATCAGAGAGAGGATCGGCACAAAAAAGGAATTGATCCAACACAAGAAACATATATATATCTATAGAGAGAGAAGACTTAAATAAGAAGAACACACAGAAAGAATTAAAGAAGCAGAAACCAGGAAGCCTGCCACCCTTGTGCTTAATTTCCAATTCCCATTTGGTGTTTTACCTCAAAAATAAATTCTTCCTTTGAAATTGTTTCTTCCAGCCCTTCTCTCTCTATCTCTTCAACAAATAAAAGAAGGTTAGGCAAGTGGGGCGAGAATATAATGGCAGATTGGCATCTCTCTCTCTCTCTCTCTCTAAATATACTAAGGTTAAGAAGTGCATTTGAAGTACAATTATTTGGGGGGTTTAAGTGGAGAGAGAGAGAGAGAGAGAGAGAGAGAGAGAGAGAGAGAGAATTGACCATTGGGGAAGGTGAAAAGTGTCGGCAAATGGTAAAGCAGTAAATTAAATTAAACAAAATAAAATTAATTTCAGCAGCAGCAACCACCAATGGAAGGGATAGATTCATCAGAGAAGCACTTGCGATTGAAGGTTGGAAACAGTGTCAGGTTTTTTGTTTTTTTTTTTGGGTGAAACTTATTTAGCAGTGGGTGTCGAAATTCTGACTATGTCTAGAGCAATTACAATGGTCATTACAAAAAACCAAAAAAAAAAAAAAAGATTCATCCAACTTATGTGTCCAAGGTATTTTCGAACAAATAAGACCACAAACAGTAGCCTTTTTTCGACGGCTTCTTTATTGATTTTGATTGGCTTTTTCCATAGCAGCAAAAATAAAAAAATACTTACTCCATCCCAGATACCATGTACACGTTGTCGTCCGTTCCACGTACCATGTTATTTTCTTTTTTTGAAAATAATTATACACTTTAATCTCATTTTAAATTTTTAAATTTTATTTTTTTTATTTAATTAAACTAATTAGTTATCTTAATCTTAATTTATAATTATTTATATTATAGGATAAATACATTCTTAATTATCTACTAATTAAATCCCTCCTATAAAATATACAGTGTCTACATTGTAGCAGATACGATATCTAGGTTGGGGGGAGTAAAAAATTAAATACAGCAGTCTTTCAATTGAACACAAAATTTCGACTGAACTTAGGGTTTAGGCTTGGTGTAGTTGAAGCCATAGCAATTATTTTTCCTTCTCATTTCTTCCCACAATATCTCTGTCTTTTTCCTCCAAAATTTTTATATATTTTGCATTTTCCAAACAAATTTATTTCATGCACAGACAAAAATTTTGTTAAAAAAGAAAAAGAAGATACACGGGAAGAATAAGAAGCACAGAAAATTATTTCAAACAATGATCAAAAACAAATTGAAAGAAAAAGAAGAAGCAAGAACAAAATATTGAAAAATAATGGAGAAGGAAAAAGAAAAAGCAGATGCACAAAATTCAGAAAGAAGACAAGCTGAAGAAGTAGAAAACCACCATTTAGACCATCTGCATAGGGCGCATCTAAAGAGATGCGCCACATCACTATTTTTTAAAAATATAAAAATAAAATTGAGAGATATTTTGCTGGAAGATGTTATTCAATTACCATGTGTCCTAATTTAATTGGAACATATGACATTTATGTATATATATATGATATATATTATATATGTTTTTTTTTTTGTAATTTATATTGAATTTATTGTTATATTTAAATTTTGTAATATTTTTATAATTTATAATCTTTTGTATTCTACAAAATGATACTAATATTTAATATATTTTATTAATTTAAATTTTAAAATATATACATACGAATATTATATAATTCTATTGAACAAATCAATATTAATAAATTTAATTTAATTTATTAAATAAAATATAATTATAAATTTAGGATGAGTATCTTTGTTGCGAATATAAAATAGAAAAGAATATCTCCGCTGATGTGACAGAGAGAGAAAGTGATGTGGATAATAAAAAGTAGTGGAGATACCCAAAGCGGGTATCTGCATTGCGGATGGTCTTACAGTAGATCGATTGGAGGAAAGTTCTCCAAGGCCGATCTTCTCTGACACTAGAAATCGCAACCGTGGTGGAAGTATGAGTTCGGAGATTCGTCAGAATAATTTTGGAGAAGAATGCAAGGCGATGGCATAAAGGCCACTTTGAGAACTATAAAATCGAGATTAAACAAATGGAGTAACCACATATTAATGGGCTGAACAAATGAAAAATAGAGGTCTTTTTTAACCTTAAGTCATTGTGTGTGTTCTACAAAAGAATTTGACATAGAAGAGAAGAAAAGAGAGAGGGGGAAGAAGAGAGAGAAAGAGAGAACAATGAAGAAAAAATGAGAGAACATAAGAGAAAAAAATAAGAAAAAAAAAAGAGAGAGAATTGTGAGAGAAACAGCTTCAACAATGTCTCACCTACACAAAGTGTTACAACAAATGCAGCCAATTGAAATAAAAAAGCTTTTGAATTGACATGTTCTAATAAAATATTATATTTTTAATAGATAAAAGAGAGAATGTGTGCAATAGCTTTATTTGAGAGAGATAGGAAAGAAAGAGAGAGAAAGAGAGAGAAGAAAAAAAATGTTAGAGAAGTGTACGAAAAAGGGAAAACAAAAATAAAAAATGAAGAGAGAAAAATACTAAGAGGTGAGAGAATGATTTTAAAATTTGTCTCACTTGCACGTACCAAGGTAATCCAAACTTGCTCATTTTTTTCCATCAAAATAAAGGTTATTGTATTACTTTTTTTCAAAAGCTTTGACAAAAACATTCACACTAATGCAAAAAACCTTCTATTTCAGACGATTATTGCAATTGTTCTTATTTCAATGCATTCTTGTTCTGACACGAGGTTGTTTTTGCCAATGGATAAAACTAAATCACACATTAAGAATAAAGTCAGGGTCAATTTTGGGGCATCTTCTCGCAGCGGCTTGGTGAAACAGAGCACCATTCATAGATTTTTTTTTTTCTTTCTCTCTTTTCCCCCTAAAAAATTTCTTCATGAAAAAACCATTCCTAGACAAACATCGCTGTCGTGTAGACACCATCCGTCGGTGGCGTTGCCTCAATCGTCGCTGTGGGATAAACCGTGGGACCAGCGAGCGTCGTCAACCTGGGCTCCGCGTTGGTTGAAAGGAAGAAGAAAAGATTGAGCAAATACTAACAAAGAATCTTACCAGAATTCGACCCACAAGTTGGATGCGACCCTACTATCGCTGGAGTTAGGGTTGGTCCGGAAGAAATTTGTATTTGTTTATCAAATTGCAATAGGGACTTGAAAATGTAACCACCATGTGGATTTTGATTTTGATTTTTTTTTTTTTTGGCATTTTGGCTTAGATAGATATGCGATGCGTAATCTTTGAAGGTTTTTTTTTTAACCGCTCTAAGAGCATTAACAATAGCTCTATTTGAGATATTATTTTTTATTCTTCGGAGGCCTTCTATTTTTAAATCGAGAATAAGGTCACATAATGCAATGCGTTTCCATACTAACTTTTCATCAAAACCTAACTTGTGCCTGGTGTAGGCGACGAACAGGTAACCCCAATTTTATTCTTCTGTTCACTGTTCTTCCTTCATTTCTCTCTCTACATAGTGTTTTTCTCCATCATTGCTTCTCCTCTCCGTCCATCGAAGGCAAACATTTTTTGGTACAGGTACTCTCCCATCAACCTCTTCGAGAGGCTCGAACAAAAAAAAGTTGTCCATTTTGAACCCGCCGTTCCCTTCGGTGAGTTTTTTGAATATGTCATACTAAAAACCAATTTTGGTAGCATTTGATTTGAAAAATAGAGATCTTAGCAAAATTTAGGGCTTTGTTGCTGCGAAGGGGGAGTTAAACGTATGTAATTTGGGTGATTGTGCGATCTGCTTATGGAACCATCTAATTGTCCAACTCGTGAAGTTTCTATGAAGTTTTTTGGTATCGATTTCTAAGTATGTAGTGTTGTGTGTTTGTCTGTTTAGTATGCATAGATGAGGAAAGATTGTTTTGAGACAAAATACTCGTTTTTTATATCCGGATGTTGCAACTCGTTGTGGTTGTTGTGGTTTATTGTTTAATGTTGAGAAATTTGAATATGAATTTGGAGAAACATTTGATCGATATATGTAGAATATCAGTGGGGAAGTCATTCGATTTTAAGTTTTGCTTCAACTATTTTTTGTCCAAATTTGAATTTGATTTTATCAATAGAACTTAAATTTTGACTGGTTTTAGTCCAGATGTTGTGGATTAACATCACATACTACTTCTTTAGAACAATGGCAAAAGCTTTAGACTACCATTAATAATGTTATTGTTCATTTGTGTGAATCTTTCTGAAGATACATTGTTGGCATTTGATATGAAACCCAATGGATGGAATGCTCGTAATGTTATAGTTGTGATGTTTTTATGGTTGTGCGGTTCTGCAAAGTTGTGAAATTTATAAGGAGTTTTGTGGGAAATGGGGCGAAAATGTTCTTGCGGGAAGGACGGTGTGCTAAGAGTTTCTAGAAATGTCAAAAATCCAGGTAGGTTATACTATAGATGTAATCCTTGTGATAAATGGTTATGTTGGGAGAATGATCTAAATGAACAATCGTACCGAGAGTTTGAAATGAAGAAAGAGAGATCTTTCTACACTAGTGATTCACCTGCAAGCTCACAACATCCACGTGGGGGTACTACATGCCAATGTACATGTTCAGGCTATGAGGAGAAAACGCAAATGGAGGATATTTCAACGCTACGTTTTCTAATGTTGGCTAATTTAGTTATTACTGCACTGATGTTTTTTTGTATTTTATTTTGTTAGCTGCATGTAATAGTTAGTTTGTATGGTTTGTGTAGGATTGGAATCACTTATGTATCTTCCATGTAACACTTTTTCATAAACTGTCGACGGCTATATGAAGAAACAATACCTACTTTCGCTACTTGAATTTGTCTCGGGGCAACTTCCCAAAAGTGTGTACATTTTAATACCTTTCTTTTATGGTTGAGGAGGTACTGTAATATATAACTTCTAGAAATAGAAGCATTGGTTTTTGGCTGACAATTTCAGTTAAGAACTGGTGTTGTACTGTGAAGTTTCCAAAGGCATCACCAATTGAACCCCTTGGCTTTTTGTATTTAATGAAAAGTTCATTTACTTTCTAAGCACAATTGTTTTGAAACTAATTATTTGTAGTATACATTAAGGCTTCTGATTTTTTTATTCATGCAAGTGGCAGATTAGTTGTCTGTTATGATGCAAGAGGTTGAATACTCAGAAGCTGTTAGCTTCCTCATTGATCATCGGATGAGGAATGATAAGGATAAGCAATTGATATTTAACTTGTTTCTAGATTTTGAAATTATATGAGCAGGTGGTGGGAGTTGCATTTGGGTAATAAATATACATTTGCATGATGATTATTGTATAATTAAATGTACTTGCCATTGGTTTCTTGATGAAGTGTTAATTTATTGGGTTTATTTTTCAGCCCTGTATGCAAGACTATTATCATATCATATCCAAAGTACGTATGTGGATGGATGGATGGATGAAATGTGCAGAAGCTTGTCTGGCAATCGGTTCTCTGTTGTAAGTTTTTTATTTACTTTGTCACTTACATACTAATCCCACCAACGTAAAGCAAGTATAAATATATAGCTAACTATTATGTATGTCCTACTATTAATCATTTTGGTGTGAAATAGGGTGAAAAGGATCTGCTTGCATTATTGGAGTATAATTTTTTATTAGTTATATAATTGTTGAACCATAATAATAGGTGTGTGTTAGGATATTTTTGAATACTAATAAATTAATTCAAATCAATGTTGTATAATTAGTTGCCCAACTCAAATAGTGATATATGTTTATGCTTAAATTACGCATCACATTATATTATATATTGCACGATATAAATGTTTGTGTGTGGATAAAGACTTATGTTCTTTATATATGTATATAAAGAAATTGGTGTGGTATTTTTTTATTTTTTTTTATTTTTGCTTGTGGATTGGATGTAAAGATTCTATTCCTATTAATAACATATAATAGTGAATTTAAATATGATGCATATGAGATTTCTTTGGGATGTGATGCAGTGATGGCAATTGGATGGGAGAACATTAATATGAGTTGACAATTCAAAGCAGGTGGAGCTATTCAAGAACTTCGGACAGAGAACTCAAATATTCCATCTATTTTGTATCATGTCAATATACATCGTATTTAATAAAAGTTATAGAGTAAATGGATGGGAAATTAAATAATAGACAGTGTATTGGATGTATGACAATGTATTAAATATATCATATGTTTTCTATCATCATCACATCACGTTGTATATTATTAAGATTTATCAGACATCTATAGAATTTATCTTCAACCACCACATTATGTTTCTTCTTAATTTGACTATTACGTTTGGATTTTTTTTTATTGTGTGTTTCATCAACATAAAACTACTTTGCAGTTCTTCTGGTTTAGTTTAAATATTTGATCATTTGGGTGTGACTCTATGGATGGTCATGAGATGGATCCGAGGTTGAAGATGAAGCAGCTTCCTTCTTGGCTATAGCACGACGGCGTGCATCACACAGCCACCATCGGAGACGTTAGCTACTGCAGCTAGAGCAAGAACAACACCAACGGTTGTCTGTGATTTTGCCTGACATTTATAATATGGTTGCCATGACAGCTCCAATACAAAGAAATTACATATATATGGATAGGGAAGGAAGACATGACGATTTGTGGACGGACTACTTGTGCGAGCTTCCGTATTTCCCGGAGTCCTACTTCAGAAGAAGGTTTCGAATTCGACGAGATCTTTTCACACGAATTTTTACAGAGGTATGCAATAACAACCCTTACTTCACTCAAAGGTCGGATTGTACTGGTCGAACAGGCCTTTCTCTCCTACAGAAAATTATGGCTGCTCTATGTATCCTCGTATATGGTTATTGTTTTGATAGTGTTGATGAAGTTATAAAGATAGGAGCATCAATGGCACGAGTCGCAACCATGGAGTTCTGTGATACTATTATAACAACATTTAAGGAGCAATATTTGCGGGATCCGACCAATGAGAAGACAACGCGACTACTAGCTGAAAATGGACAACGTGGATTTCCAGGAATGATAGGATCATTGGATTGCATGCATTGGCAATGGGATGCATGTCCCGTGGCTTGGAGAGGCCAATACAACGGACGCTACGGATACCTGACACTAATATTAGAGGTAGCTTCCTCACAAGCTTTTTGGATCTGGCATGCATTTTTTGGAATGCCCGGAACTAATAACAATGTTACAGTCCTGGATCATTCGCCTCTGTTCAACAAGTATATGGATGGAACAACACCACCGGTTGACTACGAGGTGAATTGTAGGCATTATAACTTGCCGTACTATTTAACGGATGGTATATATCCAAAACATGCAATATTCATTCAAGTTGTGAGAAATCCCGATTACCGCCAGGGAACAAGCGTTTACAACTACGCAGGAAGCTTGCCGTAAAGATATAGAAAGGGCATTTGGTGTACTTCAACAGAAATGGCGTATATTGGCCATGCCAGCGAGAATGCAGAAAACAAGTGACCTCCTCCGTGTGATTAATACGTGTATTATTTTACACTATATGATCGTTGAAGATGAGCGTGGCCACAACCTATCCGATTGGATTCCAACCATGGAAGAAGAGCAAATTCTACCTGAGCGAGCGCAGTCAGTTGAAGATGTTTGTTTACTATATCGCATTAGAATGGGTAGAATCCGTAACACATAAACTAATGGAAGATTACGGGATGATCTAATTAACCACCAATGGATGATGTCGGGACGTGAAAATATTTAGTGATTAACATGTCGTGCTACTAGGTACAACGATTCGATCTGTGTTGGTAAATTTTTGTCATATCGTGTTGCCTAAATTTATACTGCTTTCCACGCCGAATTGTAACATATATTAGAGTTAGGCATGATGAGTATATGAAAGTGCATTTTGTGTAGGTGTGGCCCTGCGATGGAACTGGTGTTGAAGTTGTATATATATAGTTTGATGGAAATATATATATGAGTGGTCCGATGAGCATTACGTAGTAGAAAATGGTATATATATAAGTGGGTGGATGGAAATTATAAATACATTTATTTAAAATGCTATATGGAGGTTACATATATAAAATCTTAGTCTGGAAATGATATATATAAATGCATTGTCTGCATGCAGTATGGAACATGATATAAATTCTCTGTGTATAATGCATGTATGTAGTGACAAGCCAAAATATTGGGTGAAATGATATATGCATTGTCCAACAGCATTCAACAACTATGCAACAAACACAAAACAGAGATCGAACGTGCACCATAAAAGGTAGCAATACCCACCGAACATAACAAACATACGGGATCTATTAGTGCTATGAGCACAAAACGAAGATCAGACGTGCACAATTAAGTAAGTAGCATAATTAAGTACAAAACAATGATATCTTGCATAAAAAACACATAATGAGGTGTTCATTTCTCCGTGGAACAATCATCCTCATTTGTCTCATTGAAAAGCCTTTTTCGACAATCCGTACGTTTACCACTTGTAGTTTCCACATCCGCATTCGGAGGACTTGCTTCGTCAATCGATTGAAGAATTGATTTCAACCCTACAATTGGACAAGATCAGAAAAAAAAAAAAAAATCTCATAATATTATAACCCCGTGTGTAGTACTCCATTTGCTCCTTCCGTATTTTGTATAATTTTTCCTGGTACTCGGTGCGTATGTTTTCCTCATCCAGTTCTTCCATTCTTGCTATTGAACCCATCAGCTTGTCGCCAATGTTTTCAAGCTCTTTTGCTATATTTGCATATTTTTTCTCTGTGTCTATTGAATCCTGAAAGTAGAAGTAAACAGTATTGACATAACACGAGATCAAAAAAAAATAAAAATAGAACCGTCAATATCTGAAAACACCTTCTTTTTAGATCTTTCAAAGACCACCTAATATTCCTCATCGAGTTGCAATTGAGTTTTTCGATCGAACTCCTCAATTCTTGACCATCTTTCATTACTTGCATATTCAAGTTTCATCAAATTGGCAGTAATTGTTTGAGTAACCGATGCTTGAGACTCTTCATAATTCCTTATCCTTCGTTGCCGTTGATTATTTGCTTTGTTGCTAGCCTTCGCTTTTTTAACTCCAATTGGGCGCTCCAAATTAATTACAGCCAGGCCTTCTAATTCTTGCTGAGTAGGGACTTTCGCTGACGAATCTGTATTTATAGGTATCTCCTCCACACCACCGTCAATAGGAGAGACTAGGGGACAGGACCTCAACAGGTTTGTGAGACTCATTTTGCTCCCCTATTGCAATTTTCCTAGAAGTGCTAGACCTCTCCTTGGTCTTTCTTTTCTTTCTATCAACAAGGTCTAGCCACTTGGGTGGATCTTTCAATACTTGCCAACATGCTTCACATTTGAAGCTCGAATTGTGTCTGTCCTTATATGTTACATGACAATAGTGTTCCTGTAAAAGCATTATTATACGTAGATTAAAAACAACTAAAAAAAAAGTATGCATTTAAAGGCAGTTGATAAAATACTTACGAACTCTGCTGGGCTCCATCCGCTCCTATAATTTGGCTCCGCTTGAACTCGTATGGCGGACCATTTTGTACATTGGTTTCGAATTTCTCGTCCAGTGATTCTCTCAAAACCTCCCAGTGTTCTTTTATTCTCTGATCTCATAACTCCATGGTTCTCTTGCATAAGAACAATAAAATTCTCGCATACTTGCTCCCATAACCTTTCTTTTTTTTGTCCGACACCAACTCGCATCCGTCGTTATATTACACTAGGAAGTGGACAACTCAACATCCTCTTTAGTGCTCCAGTTCTTATTTGCACGCTGGTTTGTTTCAGTAGACCTTACACCGGGGATGCTTTGGGAAATAAGTTGACGTTGTAATGGTGGACAGTTAAAAGTCAAAGGAGACTTGTTGGCTTGTGATGCATGTGTCTCGTGATATGGAACTTGTGGTGAACCCCCAAATGGTATAAAACTCCACATATTAGTGTAAAACATGGGATCACCTCGGGGTTGATAGTATTGCATAGGGTTGAAAGGCGCACCAAAGTTCATGTTGTATTGGTTCGGGAATGAATTTTGAATTTGAGGCAAATTCAGGCTGTTGTCAATACAAGGACCTGATGAGCTATTTGGCATTGTCCGGGACTTCTTAGTTGTTTGAGACAAATCCGCTAAATCTTCCACATCATCCACTCTATCTCCATCACGACCATCCATTTTAACTGAATATTATGGAAACTATAATGAAAGTAGTTAAACTTTGTATAAACATGTCTAATAAGAAACTCAAACAACTGCACAATAAAAGTGGCATACTCGCTAAAATTTAACAATCTTTAAATTACTTGCATTTTATGGTAGCAAGTTCCAAGAATCATTCTTCCAATTGCTGAAGTACCAATTTTAATTGGATACCTTTTTTTTCATTTTTGTTACAAGCAAATAAAGATATACGAATGCATATTAACATAATCCCTAAATATGATCAATTCCTCATGCAATGAAAGAGGCATGGGCTAAACAATTACATTTGTCAATAGTTTTTTTCCCATAACAATTACCTACAACAACTAGTGAAAACAAGGATTTTAGAATTTTAAAACATTATAAATCTGAACAATCATTTCTCTTAGAACTGATAAACACATAATCAATTTTCAATTGCACATAGTATTATATTTCCAAAGATTTCAACTTTCACGCGGTTTGTACTAACAAGTATCCCGACCTACATTTGCAATTGCATCCCAACACAAAATCAAGTACCCAGGTTTTCATAGGAATAGTGCTCTTAATGAAGCAAAGCCAAAATATATCGAAAATTCAAAAGATGTGATATTATTCAACCAAGATTAAAGAGAAATCAACATCGAAACCAAGTCGCCACAAATTTCTACGGAAATGAAATCTAAAGATCGAGGTTCACCCGGTAGTGGAAATCAAAACTCATACAAGCCAAAAATCAAACAAACGCATCTTACCGCAACAGGAAAAGAGAATGCGATGAGGACTTTCTTTTACCTTTCCAAGTCAATCACCGAGATGAATTTCTAGCGTGGGATGACGATGGCCCGCACGAGAGTGTTCACGAAGAATCGCACTGATATTTAAGCAAAGATGAATGAGAATGTGAGTTTTTATTTGTATTCCATTAAAAAAAAAAAAAAGAAACCCTAGATTTTTTATTAAAAAAATAAAATAAAAGGGGAAAAAAAGCTATTATATTCAAATTTACTTTTTTATCCATCAACAGTGGCCGTCCCATTTGACACGTCATATTTACGAAGGATGCCCTTGAAAGGCTATTGTCAATGCTCTAATTGTGTTTGCTCTTGGTCAAGCTTTTCCATTTTTTTCCATCAAAATAAAAGTTGTTGTACTACTTTTTTTTCAAAAGCTTTGACTAGAAAATTTCTGGTCTAACAAAAAAAAACCTTATATGAGGAAGTCATTGTTGTTCAACTTACACAATAATTTCAAAAATTATGAAATAATAATTTTTTATTAATTATTTTTAAATAATTTAAAACCCCAAAAGTGTATTGTATAATAGAGGGGTTTTTTTAAAAAAAATAGTTAATCCAAATTTAAAACAAAAAAATTAAATTAGATCAAGTTTTGAGTTGATCTGATAACTTAAAAAAATATCATGATTCAAAACTCAAATATGATCAAATGTAGGGTTATTTTACAATTATAATTAACATTTTTTTACTAAATTTTAAATTAAATTAAATTAATATATTATAAATTATACTCTTTATGTCCAAATTCAAAGTATCATATTTAATATTTTCGTTTGTCTCGTTGAAAAGTATCATTTATCTGTTTTAGTAAAAATAATTATATATTAATATCAAAATACCCTCAATTTTTACTTAAATTACAAACATACCATTACAAGTACAATTAAGTTATACATACAAATATTTCAAAATTTTTTACACAATTTCACTGACTAATAAAATACTATTATTTTTTAATATACTACAAAACTCCAAATGAATTTATTGGATTGGAACAAAGGGAGTATAAAACTCAGTGGGTTTGTTCACATTGTATTTTTAGGTGATACAATTCTCCATAAATATTACTACCTCCGTTCAGCGCTAAAGTACACAGTAGATTTTGTGTTGATCTTTAAATAGGAATGATTATATCAAAACGTAGTACAAATAAGGAGAAAATGATAAAAATACACCTATTAATCTCTTATAATACAAATACAATGATATTTGTGAAGTAAACTATACAAATATAAAGATATTTTTAATGTTAAAAACACAATGACGCAAAAGAATGTGTTTACTTTCCGGCTGGACAGAGGTAGTATTTAAAAAATATAATATATACATATTAGCACAATATATACTCCCTCCGTCCGGCTCTAAAAATCTCATTTACCTTTTGCGTCATTGTACTTAGCATTAAAAATATCCTTAACAGTAAGTCCCTCATTACTAATTAGCCAACTGATATAAGATTTAGATTCAACTGAAAATTGCAATAAGTATCAGAAAAATATATAAATGATAGAGATATTGATCTTGAATGAATGATATCCATACAACTCCCATTAGCATTCTGTATAGACAGTGAAGAAGACATAGGGTATGCACCAGTCAAGAGACCAAGTATAAGTGTCATATGATTGCAGCAACCAAAATCAAAATACCACCTACGACTGCCTGAATTGGCCATGGCATGAGAGGAACTGAAAGAAACAATTTGATGCGAACAAGTAACAATATTCTAGACTATTCCAGATACAGGTTAATAAGACAACCGAATATTCGTGCATTCTGAGGTGGTCAAACACGACAATTCTAAATGATATGGCCTTGACAATGACAATAGCGGCACTCCACTGCCATAATATGACTACCGATAGATAACAAAACCAAGACAGAAGGACGAATAGAAAACTGAGTTGAATCCAAAATAAGAAAACTAGGCAATCACATAATAGTAAACAAAATAGTAATCCCGAAACTTTTATACGATCCATATAAAGAGCCATACAATTTAACCAAAATATCATAAATAATATAATGGTTGCATTAATCGAGTAAAAAATCAGACTTAATAATCCAACCCAATAACAAGTGTGAAATAAAATTAAATCAGATGACAAAACGACCATATCATGACATCGGAAATCAAAGTAAAAGGCGGCGTCCGGAAGACGGTGGCCGGTAACCTCTGGACACACCATCATCTGCAGTGGGAAGATGACGGCGGAAAAAGCCTTAACGTTGGGATTTGCGTTACCAGAGCGTGAGGGCGGGACGCGCCGCCGAAGATGGCAAAATTTTGGGTGTGGGCCGTTCTTAGCGTGGCAGAGGCGATGGTGGCGGCGGTGTTGACTAGTGACCAACGGATGGCGGTGAAACAGGGAGGCGGCACAGTAGAAAAATAACACTATCACTTAAGTTTGAAAATAGAGATCGAAGATAACACAACCACGATCGTTAACCATGTCATAATCAGTAGAAAAGCTCTCAACTAAATTATAGTCAGAAATAACTAGACTCTCATTGGAGTCGGAAACAACGGAACTCTCACATGCAAGGACGAAATACATCACTCTACGAAACTTGCACGTGGATAACAACGAGTCAAAAACGACGAGATTTTCAATGCAGTCAGACACATAGCTTTGATGAAACACGAAAGACGGATCGCAGATTAATACGCAGACATGACTCTCAAATTCAGACACAGAAATTAGAACTCTGAACAAAATCAAACTTAGAAACAAATGATCTGCAACTATAGGAAGAAACTTAAAAAATTGAGAGATCTTCGAGTGTATTCCAAATTGAATATACTCGGAGAAACGAAGGTTAATAAATTATATCTATTTAGGAGAATAATTGTCTTTGATATTATGTAAAAATAATTTTTGGGAAGCAAATAATTATATACATTAATAATAAAGTTAAGATGCATTTATGACATAGTCCAAAACCGATAAAAATAAATAATAATAAATATCCAACAATAATGTTTAGTATGTATTTTATATTTATTAGAAATAAAACTTAAATATATATACAATAAAAATATATCCTGCATTATACGAGTACACGCTTAGCTAACTATATTTTAGGATAATAAATTTAATATATCAAAATTTCGGATATTGTATCAATGTTGTGACAGTCATAGTCATACACCGTATCAAATTTCCAAATGAGTTGGAAATATTTAAAGTAATGGACCCACTAAACATCCCCATTCTGAGTTTAAAAGAGGTTGGGACCCACCCCCAAAACCATTTGTTGTACTTACGATATTTTCTTGCCCTCGGGTCTTGGTGTGCTTGAGTTTGAATTTTGAGTTGGGATTTGAATAGTAAAAATTTTTGAATTTGAATAGTTGTATGATGTGATATTTTGAATGTAAAATTAATTTTTAGTATATTATAAAAAATAAAAAATAGGTATTTGATTTGATATTTTTAAGGAGGAAAATGAGATGAATAGTGTATTTAAAATCTAATCCTCTGAACAAACACACTGTGTATTTGTTCGAAGGATTTAATTAGATTTTCATTATTCATACAGTATTTTCTTTCAAAAATATCAAATTTGAGAAAAAAAAAACTATATCAAATTAAATACTTATTTTTTATTTTTTATATTATATTAAAAATTAATTTTACATTAAAACATCACGTCAATCTTTATTTATATCACATCATACAACTATTCAAATTTAAATATTTTACTATTCATATTCATATTCAATTTCAATTTCATTTCATTTCCCCCGTAAATGTATTGTATTCTTTTTTTATTATTATTTTTTAAATTTTACAATAATTTAATAAATTTAATTTTAATTTTTTATTAATATACAAATAGAATCGAACCTTTGTGACTAAGCTACCACACATTATTAATATAATTTTACTCATTAATATATTTATAAAATATTTTAATTAAAATATATAATTAAAATAAATCGGGCGAGCTGATCATGGTCCGACCTTTATAGGCCCAAACTTGATATGGTCCGGAATCTTCCGAACCTATTTTTTAAGATCCAAATACATTTTCTTTTTTTAAATCGAATTCAAATTAAATTTATGATCATGCTTATTTTTCTCGTTCTAATATTCTTTTGGTGAATCTATAGTATGTAAATGAATAAATTATACACATTCCTATAAATTTTAAATTTTAAGTGAAATGTCATTTAATATGGTACGAAAGACACATTTGTTGACCCCTCTAAATAAATAAAAAAAGTTATGTTTATCTCTATAAGTTTAAATTTTAAAATGGAATGGTCATTTAACATGTATATATATTATGTATGACAATTGACAGGTATGATCTAGAGACGTCGAAGGTTTGATCGCATGACTTTCGAGTCATAAATTCACTACATACCAATAGTTCATTCCTTATTGAATATATGGCGTCAGTTAAGGTGTTAATTGGATCAAATTAGTGTCTTGCTAATTTGATCTAGTAACCAGTTTAACCGCAAACAAACAACACCTTAATTGTAAACAACAAAATAATATTGTGTAATATAGAACCATATGTTGTGCAATTTATATATTGTACTGCGTTATATACATATACATAATGTGCTGAAAAAACTAGTAATATATTATGTTTATATTCTCATATTATGTGTTGCCAAAATATGTATTATTTATTATATTATGTGATGTCATTTATATGTTGACTGCTTTATATATATGTGTGGTAGCTAGATTAAATCAACACCAACTAGCATGATAATTGAACAATATGATATATGTTGTAATATTAATATAAGATTAACCAATAGAAATATTAATTATTTATACCGCTAACCACTATTTTAATATATTGTATATAATATAAATATATATGTGAGAATAGTATGTGTATGTATATATATGATATATATACGGACACTATATAAATATAATATATATATATATGCATGTGTATGGTTGATGTTGATGTATGTATGTATATTCTTGATAAGATATGTAATAAATGCTTGCAAAAGGAATGTGCAGAGGGAGAGAGATAAATCCACTGCTCTCGTTTCATTAAGCAAACACACATATATATAGGTACAAGTTTTGGCTACTGAAGGATATAAAAACAGTCACGTAAATGCGACGTAGAGGATATGTATTGTACACATATTGCATTGTAGATATAACGTGTCACAACACTCTTCCTTGAATGTTTTTATACGAAGAATGTGCTTCATTAAAATCTTACTAGAAAAAAAAATCCTGTGGAACAAAAAAAAATCCTAGTGAAGGAGAAAGAGTACAACATTCATGTATCAATTTCGCTCCCCCTGATCTGAGCATTATTTGAGATCCCTTAACCGACGCATCCCAATTTTCTTCACCAGTTTTTCAAATGTTGCCGTCGGCAATGCCTTAGTTAATATATCCGCCAAATTATTATCAGATCGAATTTGTTGCACATTAATTTCACCATTCTGTTGTAGATCATGAGTGAAAAATAATTTTGGTGAAATATGTTTCGTTCTATCTCCTTTAATGTAACCCCCTTTTAATTGGGTTATACAAGCCGTATACAATGTAGTTGGAGGAATTTTATCGTCATGTATTAACCCACAATTTTTCAGAATATGTTTAGTCATTGACCTTAACCAAACACATTCTCGACTAGCTTCATGTATTGCCAATATTTCAGCATGATTTGAAGAAGTGGCAATTAAAGTTTGTTTCATCGATCTTCAAGAAATTACTGTTTCGCTACAAGTGAATATATAGCCAGTTTGTGATTTGGCTTTATGAGGATCAGATAAGTATCCTGCATCGGCAAAACCAATCAATTCATGTCGAGAATATTTTGAGTAAAATAACCCGAGATCAATTGTTCCTCGGAGATAGCGAAAAATGTGCTTAATCCGTTCCAATGTCGTCGAGTAGGCGATGAACTGAATCTTGCCAATAAATTTACAGCAAATGATATATCAGGTCGGGTAGCAAGATACATTAATGTACCTATAGCACTCATATATGGCACTTCAGGGCCAATTGTTTCTTCGTTTTCCTCTTTTGGTCTAAAAGGATCCTTTGTTGGATCGAGTGCTCTGACGATCATTGGGGTACTTAGCGAATGTGATTTATCCATCAGAAACTGTTTTAGTGCCCTTTTGGTATAATTTGATTGGTGGATAAATGTTCCACTTTCCAAATGCTCAATTTGCAGACCAAGGCAAAATTTAGTTTTTCCAAAATCTTTTATCTCAAACTATTTTTTTCAGATATTCAACAGCTTTCTGGATTTCATCAGAAGTTCCAATCAAATTGAGATAATCGACATATACATCGATGATTACAAATTCAGACCCATTTTTCTTTATAAACACACGGACAGATAGGGTCATTTATATAAACTTCTTTTGTTAAGCTTCCGCTGAGACGATTGTACCACATTCAACCCGATTGCTTGAGCCCATACAAAAATTTTTGTAATTTGATGGAATATGATTCTTTTGGCTTTGATTTGAATGATTCAGGTATGTTAATCCCTTCTGGGATTTTCATGTAGACGTCATTGTCTAAGGATCCATAATGATATGCAGTAACCACATCCATTAATCGCATATTAAGATTATTGTGTACTGCTAGGCTCACCAGATACCTGAATGTTATTCCATCCATAACCGGCGAATATGTTTCTTCAAAATCAATACCCGGTCTTTGGGAAAAACCTTGGGCTACAAGCCTTGCTTTATATCTTGTGCTATCATTATTTTCATTTCTTTTTCTCACAAACACCCATATGTAGCCAACAGGTTTCACATTTTTAGGTGTTTGGACTATGGGTCCGAATACTTGCCGTTTATTCAATGAGTCCAATTCAAACTTAATTGTGTCTTTCCATTTTGCTCAATCATCTCTTTGTCGACATTCATCAACTGATTTTAGTTCATAATCCTCGTCATTTTTCATTATATCGAGTGCTACAGAATATGCAAATGCATTATCAATATTTGTTTTCTTTTTGTTCCAATATTTTCCACTGGTGGTATAGTTAACTGAAGTTTCAATAACTTCATCATCACTTTCATCAGAATTTTTAGTATCAACCTCTTCAGGGGTTGTACTGACCTTTTCAGGTATCTGATCATTGTTGATCTCTTCACCAGTATTTACAATTTTCCACTTTCGTGGATTATTGTCCTTGGACCACAACGGTCTGCCATGTTTTACGCGGGCAGTATGCTCATTAGCACTCGGCACTTTCCTTTCTGGGATATTTATTTTAGCTGGGGCATTTGCTGCTGCAATATATGATTTCGTAACTCTGGCAGCATCATTAAAAACATCAGACAATTGATTTGCAATTTTCTGCAAATGCACAATTGTTTGAACTCCAAGTTCACTATGTTTCGTACGAGGATCAAATTCAAGTGGTATTTTCCACGAAATTTATTTTTCAGTGATTACTGTCTCCCCTTAATGTCGGGAAATGTGATTTGTCAAGATGATAGTTTGCAAACCTCGCAGTAAATAAATCACCCGTTGTTGGTTCAAGATATTTTGCAATTGAGGGTGATTCATACCCCACATATATACCCAACCTTCTTTGAGGTCTCATTTTCGTGCGTTGAGGTGGCGCAATTGGAACATAAACAACACACCCAAATATTCGCAGGTGAGATATATTTAGTAATTTTCCAGAAACCAATTGAGTAGGGGAATAATAGTGATAACTTGTTGGCCTTATTTTCACGAGGGCTGTTGCATGCAATATAGCATGTCCCCAACATGATACGGGAAGTTTAGACCTCATTAACAATGGTCTAGCAATTAATTGCAATCTTTTGATAAGGGATTCAACGAGGCCATTTTGCGTATGTACATGGGGAATAGGATGTTCCATAGTAATCCCAATTGACATGCAGTGATCATCAAATATATGTGATGAATACTCTCCATCATTATCTAGACGTATTTTATTTATCGGGTGATCTGAAAATTGTTTTTTCAATTTAATTATTTGTGCAAGTAGTCTAGCAAAAGCTAGATTGCGAGTAGATAACAGACATATGTGTGACCATCGCATGGATGCGCCAATTAGTACCATAAAGTACTTGAAGGGTCTACACGGTGGATCTATTGGTCCACAAATAGCACCCTGAATTCTTTCCAGAAAAGCTGGGGATTCAAATCCAACCTTTGTTGGAGATGGCCTGATTATTAACTTCCCTTGGGAACAGACAGCACAAGCAAATTCATTCGGATTCAAAATATTTTTCTTTTTCAATGAGTGGCCATTTGAATTTTTAACAATTCGACTCAGTATTACATTGCCAGGATGCCCAAGTCGATCGTGCCAAGTTTTAAATTCGCTAGTAGTCATTTGGTCTACTAGATGATATGTTTCAATGACACTGATTTTTTAATAATATAAGCCGGAAGAAAATGATGGCAATTTTTCTTTCACAATTCTTTTGCCATTCACAATTTGAGTTATCAAGAGATACTCATCGAGCTTTGCTCGAGAACAAGGCATTTTCAATTGTCATTTTTTTCCATTTTGGGAAAAATACAGTAGCTTTTCCTGAGCCTTCAATTATTTTTTATGCACCACTGATAGTAACAATAGTGGTCTTTCCCATATTCAGGTGGGAGAAATAACATTTGTTTTTCAGAATGCTGTGAGTCGTAGCACTGTCGATAAGGTAGATGTTGTCAATCGGCTCCAAAATATTTGGCATCCATATCTTTGCAAGAAGGTAAAAATTATAGAAGACATGTATTACTAATATAATAAAAAAAGACTTATATTATAGGGGGTAATACAAAAAGGGGGACATAAAACATTAAGATAACAAAAGAGATACAACAACATTTTATCATTTAACATCATCAGCTATGTCAAGCAAATCATCGGCATCCAGGTGCGTGATATTTTCATTCATCACATCGTCAAATGTGTCATCGTGGGCAGCGTAATTTGTTTCGGGGACAATTCTTTCATGTCTTTCTTTTGAGGCCCGATACAATTCAGCCAAATGACTGGTCGTGCGACAAACATGGGCCCACTGGCCTTTGATTCCACACCGGGTGCATTCATCGTCATTGTTTCTTTTTCTCCTGGTGTTGAACCTATGTAGAGGTATGTGCGGCCTTCTGTCATTATAACGCCGATTTGGCACATATCGGGGCATGTTCTGATAATTATTGTGACTGTATGCGTTTGTCTGGCCCCGTCCGCGATTCTGATTTCGATCGCCATCAATTCTTTAATTTCTGACCTGCCCACGGCCACGCACCGGATTTGCCGGTTGTATTGCATTTGCCTCTGGAAATGGATTTGCACCTGTTGGCCGAGATTCGTGATTTTTCAACAGCAATTCATTATTTTGTTTGGCCAGCAAAAAACAGGTGATCAGCTCAGAATATTTCTGGAAGCCTCTTTCGCGATACTGCTGCTGCAAAACCATGTTAGAGACATGAAAAGTGGAGAAAGTTTTCTCTATCATATCAGATATAGATATATTTTCGCCATAGTGCCGCAATTGTGATGTTATTTTAAACATTGCAGAATTATATTCTTGGACTGTTTTAAAGTCCTGAAGCAGTAGGCTTTACCATTCGCTTCATGCCCTTGGCAACAATGTCAACCTCAAATGATCATATCTTTCTTTCAATCTCTCCCACAATTCAATTGGGGAATCCAGCGTGACATACTGCATTTTTAGTGCCTCATCGATGTGATGGCACAAAAAAATCATGGCCTTTGCACGATCTTGGCTCGGGGAGTTTTTATCCCGGGCAATGGTATTTTTCAAGTCAATTGATGCTAAATGCATTTTCACGTCACGAGCCCATGCCATATAATTTTGGCCAAAAACGAGAAGAGGAAGAAATTCCTGTTTGGCAAGGTTAGACAAAATAAACAGATAAAATATAAAATATTACCTTGCGGAAATTAAAATACACAATCGTGCTGATAACGTGTTGTAATATTAATATAGGATTAGCCAATAGAAATATTAATTATTTCTACCGCTAACCACTATTTTAATATATTGTATATAATATAAATATATATGTGTGTGAATAGTATGTGTATATATATATATGATATATATACGGACACTATATAAATATAATACTCCCTCCGTCCCATAACAAAGTATCCATTTTTTTTATTTTAGTCCGTCCCATAACAAAGTATCTATTTCCTCTTTTAGTAACTGTACTATCTACCTAACATTACAAATACCCTTACAACTTAGAATATATTACACAAATGCCATTACCTTTATATCACACATACTAATAAGGTTATTTTGGTCATTTCTACTTTATTCCTACTATATCGCAATATAATACTAATATTTCTAAAACTACGTGCAAAAAGCAAATTGATACTTATTTCTGGGACGGAGGGAGTATATATATATCCATGTGTATGTTTGATGTTGATGTATGTATGTATGTATGTGGCTTGATGAGGATAACTAAGCTGACACGCCGGAGTTGGCTGCTGGCACAAGAGGGTGGTGCCTTACCGCACCGCAGGCGGACGCGCGGTAACGTTCGTGGTGGTGCTTCAGGATTCCAATGTACTGCGTCCAAGATCAGAACGAGCTTGCCGGCGGACCACTGCCGTCCCATTCTTGAGTGAGCTGAAGCGCAGCCATCTTATCCACTGAACTAGCTAGAAGCTATCGCTTCGGGTCGAAGCATTAAAAGAAAAAGACCGGAAAACGCGGTGGCATAGGAACCACGGGACCCCCTATTAGTAAAGGGAAAACGTGAGTGCGCTCCTGCACACCAGCTGAAAAAGCCCTTTCACTTTTGAATCCAAAATTCAATGTTGGTAAGCTTCATAGTTCCAACCTAATAAAGGGGCTTTGATGCCCTTTGTATAGGTTGGGTTGTTGGATACGGGATCCTCGTAGTAGGCTGGACCAACATCCATCCGAGAGGGATGTATAGTCTTGATAAGATATGTAATAAATGCTTGCAAGAGGAAGGTGCAGAGGGAGAGAGATAAATGCACTGCTCTCGTTTCATTAAGCAAACACACATATATATATACAAGTTTTGGCTATTGAAGGATATAAAAACAGCCACGTAAATGCGAAGTAGAAGATATGTATTGTACACATATTGCATTGTAGATATAACGTGTCACAACAATATATACTTTCACGTAATAAAATATATATACATATATACTTAAATATATTTTTTAAGCAATATATTATCATTTACTAATATATATTTAAGCATTTTTTTTTTCTTTCCATTGTATTTTAAATTTTTTATTAAACAATTTTTATGATATTCAATAAAAATAATTTTTTTACAAAATATTATACGTATTTTGTCCTAGGTAAGATGACCTCTTTAATTAGAAACACTATATTTTAGATAGTATAAAGTAGCAAATTATTAATAATAAATTATGATTGTTGATGAGAAAATTTCAAAAAAATTAAAGTAGAATCCGAAAATAAATTTCAAACTTGATACGTTGTACTTGAGATCATAAATCTCTAAGCACGGGACTTAATTATACTAAGGAAGTAAATTAAAAAACTGAAAAAAAAAATGATGATCTCCAACGAAGTTTTTTTTTTATTTTTGTTGATTGAAGATTTCTGGTACCTCTTTGTTGGAGCCCTTGTATACAAAACGATGAAAACGTCCTCAACCGTCCTTCAGTCGATTATCCAGATTGTGTGTTCAACCGACGACAGTTTCATACTCCATATCCCATGTTGCAATACTCTGTTGTAACCAACCGTTTTACTTCAAACCACTCTCCTTCGGCTGTATCCGACAAGTCATCTTTCCTTCTCTTCAGCCCCCTTGCTTCTGACCAAAATCTCACTGCAAACACCCAGTCAGTTGGTTCTTTAAATGAAAGGACCTACACTCAAAACTTCCTGGCAAGGGTGGGCAAGAAAATCGAACCGAACCATTAAACTGAACTAAATCGAACCAAATTTTTTTTTAACCGAGCAAATTTGGTTCGAATACAAATACTGCATATTTGATATTTGCTCGGTTCGGTTCAGTTTTTTATATTTTTTTCGGTTCGGTTAACCGAACCGAATATATTTATACATTTATGTTATTGTATTTTAAAATTTATATTAATAATTATATTCAGTTCGGTTTCGGTTTGGATATTTGAAATATTTGCAAATATTTTCATTTAATTAGAATTTTAATTATTTTTTAATATATTATTTTTCATTTCGGTTCGGTTTGAATTATTTACAAATATTGCAAATATTTTCGCGATTTCGTGTATTTGTTCGGTTCGATTCGGATATCAAATACCTACATATTTGCAAATATCCGAACTGTGCCCACCCCTACTTCCTGGGCCCATTACTCGGCCCAACTTGACTTCAACACCTTGGGCTAAAACCCTAAATTTGAATTTTGTACTTAACAACTTACCTCTTGCTTGAATTTCAATATTCACACCTTGATTGTTGTGAGATGTGATTGTTGAAAGCCCGTCGTTTCACTGTTTGGGATGATCATCACACCGTTTCACGTCACATTAAGGGTTTTATAAAAACCCTACTAGGAAGATTAAAACACTTTCCTCGCTTCTTCACTCCTGCAAATCCCTTTCCCCAACAGCTCAAGTCATCATCTTCCTACATTATTCCTTCATCTTTCTAGAAACTCATTATCAAACTTCAATGTCCAACCAAAATGTTCTTGCCCTTCATTTCGATAGTTCCTGCCCAGAGGATTGTCTCTTTGTACATACTTACTGTGGTCCTCCACCCCTATTGCACGATTCTGGAGGATGCAAAGTAAATGCAGAAGATATTAAGGCTTGGCAATTGATTAGTCGTAAAGACTCCTCATTCCAACCCGCGTGCATCAATGACGGCATCAAGACCCACCTCACCAACCCAAAAGATTCTTTCCGATCATGGCGCTCAAGATTGGCCCCACACTTCTAAGAATAATGTTAACGACAAGGACTGGACAAAACCATCTTCCTTTCCACTCACATTTTCCATCTTCACGAGGTCTTACTGGTCATGACGGCATTTTGGGATCGTGAGGTTAGCGCTTTTTTACTATCCGCATGTCCTATTGGCCCTAAGAATAATCTTAGTCATGATTGGCCACCTCCCGATTGTGGGTGAGGATCTGGTGGTCGGTACCCTTGACGATCAGGAACCCCCTTCCGACCACGCAAGTTGGGCTCTGACCGACATACAAGACAAGGGTGGACCAATTTGTCACCCTATACCGAGGTCTCCCTGACACCTATGTAACCGACAAGAAGCATACCGCCTTATTCCTATTTTGGCTATGCCGGTACGTGATTCTTTCTTCTTCCAAATGTGTTCTTCCTGCACACTTAGATTTAATCATATATCTAGCTTCCGGCTGTTCTTTCTCGTTTGGTATCCTTTTCCTAGCTAATCTTTTTTAGGGCCTTTCTCGATTCTGCACTTGTTTACTTGATACTAAGAAATTAAAACTTCATGTTCTGGTCTTTTTTGTTTCTTGAGTTATAGTTTCGTTTTTTATTTCCTGATGACTTCTATGGCCGTCCATCCTTCATTCCTTACATATTTGATATTTGTTCGGTTCGGTTCGATTTTGATTTTTAACATTTTATGTTCAGATAACCGAATCGAATATATCTATAGTAATATATTTTAAAATTTATATTAATAATTATATTATATTCAAATTCAGTTCGGTTCGGTTCGGTTCAAAATATTTACAAATATTTTTTAATTAAAATTTTAATTATGTTTTAATGTTTTTTTGTTTTAAATTTGGTTCGATTAATTAAAACCTTCAGTTTGAATATGGTTCACGATTTCGAATATTTATTCGGTTCAGTTGGAAAACCAAACATCTGCATATGCAAATATTGATTATAAAAATATTGATATGGATTAATATGCTTGGTTGAGATTTTTATGTGATTTTGGGAATGACTGATTTAATTAGTTGAAAAGAATTTATAAAAGGCGCGGATCAGGTGCTGACTCAATATGCTGATTTTGATCGGGTTAGCATATCACATAATGACATACAATATATATGTATATTTACATAACATAGCATATGTTATATTATAAGATATTATATGTTAATGTATAATATAACATATGTTCTATCATAAATATGTTATGATAGCATATAATATATGTTGATTATTTTAATATGATATATTGGCCGGATCATATAACACCATGCTGATTTGATTGGGTCAGCACGGGATCATAGCCGATTGTAAACTATGATTTGAATTTGTTTGTTTGCTATTTTTAAATATATATATATATATATAATTTTTTCATATCAAATTAGATTCAAAATATGTCTTATATTAATATATATATATATATTAGTTGAAATAATTGTTAGGTTTAATGTTTAAAAAATATAAATAAATATGTTGGATAAAATATTTTTTAGGAAAATTGATAAA